CAGCAGCTCTTACTGACTTCACTGGATGGTGTGAAGCACTACGAATTTTGGCAAATTGGAGGTTTATTTAGGAGCCCAACTTCTGGCACCAGCTTTTGAAAATCTTGGCCAGGGTTCCCACATAATGTTAACACACTCACATCATATGTCTCAGTATTGTGTGAGATCTACACATCCAGCACTCTGCTAAGCTGCAAATTTAGTAAGACAAGTGAAAAAAGAGAAACATTTACGTATGTGCAGTGTTGCTAAGTTAATGTATATTTTCTCTTATTTGAGAAAGATTAGCCTGAATTTACCACCTCCTGATTACCTTTGGATACAAATAAAAGTTGTGAGGGAATAAAAGGCATCTTTGTAAAACATCTGGAATCAGGACATAGTCCAGGGTGAATATCATCAAGTCGAAATCACACAGAAAGCACTGGAAAAAACAGAAGTAAATGTTGAATTGATACTTTAAAAGTTTTGTGCCACAGGGTTTATACAACAATTGAGTACACTTAGCACTTCAAACTCTGTTTCTGTTGTTTTGTTGTTTGATTTTGGTTTTGTTGTTTGGTTTTGTCTACTTTTAATTTCCTAACATACATATTTGTATCAAGTTACCATTCACAACAGTGAAGGCCTAAGCAACCTCCAAAGAAATAATTATATGATGAATAAGTTTATGATAGGATTCTTATCTATCAATACTAATTTTACTAATTTAATGTAATTCATATTTCTTGATGTCAGCTATATAGAAGAAAAGCACCAAATCTGAGCTAGTTTTTTATGTTTCTCTATCAGAAAGAGATAGGGACCTCCTCTGTGCAGTTCACATGCATACAAGGTAAAGATCTAGGTCAGGTGAGATGAATACCACTCTGTTGCAAAAGCAGAAGATGCTGAGAGAGAGCACAGTGATTATGTTGTAAGAACTTTTATGGAGCCAAATTCTTTTGTAGTCTGTGTGAAACAAATGTGCTAACCTATTCCTGTGACATTTGATATGAATGCAAATCACTTATTGTCTCCAGTGGGAGATGACACATATCTGAGACAGCATCTGGTGCTGATGATGTGAATAAATGCCCTCTGTGAACTGGGCAGAGAACACCGGTATCGTTATCATGAGACATGCACAGGATGTGAACTCAGAGGTGAAAGGCTGCTTCACTCACCCACTTGGCCACGCAGCCTTTACCATCATACATCCTATTGATTGCTATGAAAGGAAGGACAAGCCTACAGGAATTGTTCTGACATGATGGGTGGACGCAGCTTTAAACAGCTGTCTGAGGACTTTGCCAAAGGGTGGCCAGAATGAATTTTTCATTGCCCTGGTCTGTCCATCATGCCACAGTGAGTGATGCCTCTGGAAATAGCTCCTTCGGCCAAGCATAACAGGGTCACACCTGCCCAGCTGTTCTTGGTGGTCATGGATGGGATCCAAAGCCCACTGAAGTAATTGGAAAAGGCCCTGATCTTTGGCTCAGACCTTAGTCCTTGTTTCTACTAAATTAGCTGCACAAGCTGGCAAAGATTTCCCTGTATCATGCATGGTAGGATTTGGGCCTTTGGGATTACTGTAACAACTTTATAGTTCCATATTGGTAGCCATTTTATCCTAGTGGTTTTTAGCTAAGTGATGTCATTGCTCTCATCTTCCTCTGTTGATGCATTTTTGGCAAAAATCTAAGAAATCTTTAAGACCCATGGAACTAATTGAATTTTTCACATAGAAACGGACCTCTGGGATTGAGCTGTGAATAGGTGAGCAATCAGTGAATTTCCAGAAGACACAGACTGTAACTTGGAGTAGCAAGTGAGAACATGAACTGCATAAAATGCACATATAAGGGAAAAATCAACCTCTAGTACACAGTGAAGAGAGTTATTGCATGGTTGGGGAACTGAAGAAGTAAATTTGTCTCTCATCCTGTATAGAATAAATTGATGCAAAATTCTGATCCAAAGGCAAGTAAAGTACATGTGTTTCTTTCTGTTGATTCTAACAAACCTTTTTCAACCCCTGCAAAGATAAACATGTTTTTTAAATTTGGGGTTTTGAGGTCTAATTCTGGTATAAGTGGCAAAGACTCAGACCTCTCTTGTTTTAAAGGTAAGGAGAAATGTTCATTCCTGAAGCCCAGGAAGAGAACAGACAGTGGAAACCTGGTGCTATGTGTGTTGTTCCTAGTGCAAATATTTTGGATAATATCAAACCTTACATAGTGGAACAAATCCTAACCACAAGCCCTTAGTTTGCACCATAGATTGAGCACATCAAACTGGAGACTTGGGAATGTGAGCTAAAGTCTTCTCAGTCAAAATTAACTATGAAGGAGGACTGTAGAGCAACTTCACTGTAAATCCTAACTTTCTTTTAGCTGCAGGCATTTGCCTACAATGGCATTATTTAATCACATTTCTTTCTTCACAGGCTGTGTTATGGCTCCACCTAGCAGGAAACACAGGGATTACTTAGTTAAAAATCGTGCTAAAAAAGAAGCAATCGAGTTTATAAGTAAAACGGTGTCACCAACTAGACTAGTGTTACTAGTTCATCTTATTATTATCATCCAGGATTTGTAGTGCCCCATAACACATCTAGATACTTCCAGGTTCAAAAAGAAGCTTTTTCTGACTTAGATAGACTAAATGTAAAACAAGGGATGCAATAGAGACATAAACAGCCATGGGAGGGAAAGCAGAGATAGGTGAGCATGAGAGAGGTTGAGTCACCAACATGACTGACCTTGCAAATGTGTTGCTGGGCTCACCTTGGAAGGCACAAAAGGGAAAAAATTAAAGGAGGTTGAAGAGGTGGGTTTGTGCAAGGTCTTCAAGCAAGAAGTGTGAGAACCAGCTCACCTTCTAAGCCAAAGGAGCAGCTGAATTAGTTTATCAGTATGGATCTAACAGGGGTGGGAGCAAACCCCAACAATAAACGAGTGGCACTAGGGATGTGTCTGAGGGGATGATAGTTGCAGCAGTTGTCAGGACCAGAAGAGGATGAAACTGAGCTGTTCAAAGACAGAGAAAAGGATGCTGCAGCAGTCAAGCCATGGGTCAGGGCAAGAGTTTAAGTTATGCAGATGAGGAGAGAAAGTCACATCCGAGAAATAATGACCTCCAGGGATCATCTGGAGAATCTGCCTTTTTAAGAAAAAGAAATAAATAGGAGGTGTGGGATGTGTAGGAGGTGCAGTTTGCTGCAAAGTTATAGTCTCTGATTGCAGACCATATACAGGGAAACGATAGATAGGGGTGTTTAAGTATGGAAAAATGAATATGGTTAAAGCATTTACTAGGGCTCTCTGCCACAGTAACTCTGAGCATACCTCCCAAGAGGATCCAAGCCGCTAGTCTAACATGGGTGCATGCTGGTGAGGATCCTCCCCAGTTCTGTCTCACTGCATCAACAGGGCAGAAACTCAGCCTCGATATGAAGAGCAGAAATACAAAAAGCAGATAAACTTTGATATGCGAGAACCTGCACTTTAACTGCTTGGCGTTATCCCATGGTAGCCACCGGAGGGCACTCTAGTCTTGCTATTGAGAGTCCGTTGCACTGATACCTGCACTAGTTTGCTAAGCCTGCAGCAAATTTAACTGCATTTCGAGGCACAGGTGGTACCTGTGCGTCGAAATGAGAGCTGAACAGCGTGGCAGGTCTCCTTCACTCCATACTTGCTTCCCTTGTCTTTGTAAAATATAAACCGTGATGTTTTGCCTGTGAATGGAGCAGGGGATGAGGAGGTAAAATCAGTTGCAGATGTACTGAGCCCATCATGAGAATTCCTCCAGTTTTAAAAAATGCTTGCTTTCAAAAATTAATTAATGGTGGCCAAGTGCGGCTTTGGGATGAGAAAATCATTGAGCAAGCTGGTTTCTTATTGGCTTCACAAGTGTCCTCACAGAAATGTTGGTTTCTACTTGAATATGGATTGAATTTGTCCCTTCCTCATAAGAACAAATTTCCAAAGTGGCCTGCACTTTTGGCATCTATTAGGGTATTATATACAAGTAGGTTTAAAATATTTCAAGAAAAAATAGATATTTTTCTATACTATTACAATGTTTATGGCTATATTTTGGTGGCTCCAATATGTGATTAAAAAAAAAAAAGTTTCAATGTGTATCACAGTTCTGAATGTACTGCTTGAATGTTAATAATAATACTAATAATAGTAGTAATAATAATAATGTATTTTCATTAGTTGTGGTAGCAGTATGAATATTAAGACATCTCTCACACTCTCTTCAGGAACACTGCTAGATGAAGAAACATGGCCTTAAAGATGATTTGATGATAAAACCAAAAAAATTTGTGTAGCTTTTAGTAGTTTGTTTTTACAGGTATGTTAATGCAATAAATATGAATTAATTCACATTTTATCCAACATCAAACAGAGGTACTAATGCTGTCTTCTTTTTCTGAGCATCTTAGAGAAGCTAAGAAAGTTCATCTCCCTTCTAAGTTTTAATTTAAGTTATGAAAATCTCTGAGAGAAAAGCCTATAAGAATTTTTCTTCAAAGCTTGTGTATAGGTAATTGCAGATATGGGCATGTAACTAAAAGGAGTGGAGGATTTATAATTCTGAGTAGCAGTAAAAATGAGTGAGATGAAATAAAGTAACAAGTTTGGTGTGGTTTTAAAAGATAAAGGAGAATACGTGGGAACTGGATAAAGGAAAATGAAGATGAAGGGGAAGAGTTTTTGAAGAGAGGTAAAAAATGAAAAAGGAGAGGGAGAGGAGAAATGAGGGTGAATATGATCCTTTGAAGAACCAGAAGAGCACAAACACCACTAGTGTGCTCCCATGCTTTCTAATAAAACCTGAGCTTTTTTCACTTGTAAATCAAATTACCAGCCACTGGCAAATGAGCTTTCAAACCATTACAGCTGATCTGCACAGGGCAGCTTTCCTACTACAGAAACCAACCTGCAGAGTACTTGTACTTTTTTCCTAATACTCGCTTATCTTCTCGTTCTCTGTCTTCTGTTCAGTGTCCAAGCAAAACCTATGATCCGCTCATAAAGTCTACCAGAGACTTTCCTGATGAAGTCATTAGCTTTATTAAACGCCATCCACTGATGTACAAATCCGTTTACCCAGTGACGGGAGGACCGGTTTTCACTCGAATCAATGTGGACTATCGTCTGACCCAGATCGTGGTGGATCATGTCATGGCAGAGGATGGGCAATATGATGTAATTTTCCTAGGAACAGGTATGAGAGACAACTTCCACTATCATTCTGCACAGACCACAGTCCTTTAAGAATACTTGTAGTCCAGGAGGTCCCGAATAAACCCGTTGATTAACATATTTTTCCTACACATGATTAACATATTTTTCCTACACATGCAGCTTCAAGAAGCATTTAGATGCTCCTGGTTCTGTGCCAGGTCTTCATGCAAATCCTAAAATTAGATTAATAAGGCTCAAGAGATTGCCACTACTGGGATTTTAGTGCTTCCTGGTCCCTAGGTGATAAACTAGTTAAGGGTGAGAGTACCTGGACCTTCTTAACCTTTGAGTACAATTCAGTACCTGTCTTTACATTACACGGTAGTTTCCTC